GACAAAGTGGGCATTCACCCACGAAAGCTTACGCTCCAATACATCTGTTAGTCTTAAAGGTGCCACAGGACCCTCTGTTGCTTTTTACAGATCCAGACTAACACGGCTACCCCTCTGATTATTAAGTATACAAGAGTAAACTATCCCAGTGCATGGGAAAAATAAGAAGTATGTTGAGAGACCACCCTGGCTTAGCCAGTATTTCTTCAACGACCTGAAACTCAAAAAAGAGTCATACAAAAAGTGGTAAATAAAATTATGAAGGATGAATATATATTAAAAAAAAACAACACAAGCATGTAAGGACAAAATCAGAAAATCCAAGGTACAAAATGAGATTAAACTAGCTAGGGACATAAAGAGTAACAAGAAAACATTTTACAAATATATTAGAAGCAATAGAAAGACCGATGACAGGATAGGCCTATTAGTCAATGGGGAGGGGGAAACAATAACAGAAAATGCAGCAATGGCCAAACTGTTACATGTAACAGTTTTCACCAAATTGTTTTTTTTTGTTTCAGTTTTCACCAAAATGGTTAGCTGTGGTCAAATGACTAACAATGAACATCAATGTAAATATGGTAGGATCTGAGGCTAAAATAGAGAAAGAACTAGTTAAGAATGACTTAGACAAGTTAGATATATTCAAGTTGGTAGGGCCTGACAAAATACATCCTAGAATACTTACGGAACTGGCTGAAGAGATCTCTGAGCCATTAGCGATTATCTTTGAGAACTCCTGGTGGAGGGCATGACAGGTTCCCCCAGGGTGCCACCTGGAACTGGGGTACCACTGAGCCCTCTTGACCCACCAGCCTGGGCTCCTTCTCATACTGTGCTGCTGTGACAAGCTTGTACTTTCACCAGCATTCACACAGGTTGGAACACACCCAGCTGCACTTACATGCAGGCTCTCTAACCACCAGCCTAGGACCCCAGAGCAGTACCGTCCTGCCTTAGTCAAATCTGGCCAGTATATGGGTTTAACACCCGGTCTGCCTCTCCCTCAACGTGAAGAGGACCATGCACATTTGTGGTAACCAAGCTGAGATTTTCCCCAGACACCTTAGTCAAACACACACTGGTTTGGACTAAAACATAAAATAAGTTTATTAACTACAAAAAGATAGATGATAAGTGATTATAAGTGATAGCAAATAGATCAAAGCAGATTAACTAGCAAATAAAACATGCAAACTAAGCTTAATATACTACATAGATCGGATATGAATAGCAAATCCTCACCCTAAGTAATGATACAAGCAGGCTGCAGATTCTTAAGGGGAAAGCTGCACTGGCTTACAGCTTGGCACCCCCAGGTGTTTCATTCACAGGCTAAAAATCCCTTTAGCCTGGGTCCAGCACTTCCCCCAATTCAGCCTTTGTTCCTCAGGTGTTTCCAGGAGTCTCTTTGGGTGGGGAGTCAGTGAAGAACCATGTCTCTCCCCTGCCTTAAATAGATTTTGTATATGGCAGGAACCCTTTGTTTCAAAGCTTGGTTCCCACACCAGTCAGTGGAAAAACACTGATGTCCCAAGATGGAGTCCAGCACCAGGTAACCTGGTCACATGTCCCTGTAGTGTCACAGCAGCCATAACTCGGAGGCTGTCTGCAGGGTCTTCAGGAAGGCTCCTAGGTGAGAGATAAGCTTATTCGAAGGCCTGTTGTTGTCTCCTAATGGCTCATTAACCTGAATGGGTCCTTCTCAGCCAGCCATCTATACTGAGAGCCTTTTGCCTAGTGGGCGTTCTCCAGGTGTAAACACATTTGTAATATAGATATATAGTCAATATCCCCAACTTCAGATACAAATATAATGCATACATACAAACAGGATAATCATATTCAGTAAATCATAACCTTTCCAGTGACACCTCACATGACTTACCTTGCATAAAATACAACATAATTATGCCATAATCATATCATAATAATATCTCTATGAAGAATATGGGGTGCAGTGTCACAGTGGGGAGAGATCCCAGTGGACTGGAAAAGGGCAAATATAGCACCTATCTATAAAAAGGGGAATAAGGACAATCCAGAGAATTATAGACCAGTCATCTTAACTTCTGTACCCAGAAAGATTATGGAGCAAATAATTAAACAATTAATTTGTAGGGACCTAGAAGATAATAAGGTGATAAATAATAGTCAACATGGATTTGTCAAGAGCTAATCATGTCAAACCAACCTAATACCCTTCTTTGACTGGGTAACAAGCCTCCTGGATGGGGGAGAAGCAGCCAATGTGATATATCTCGACTTTAATAAGGCTTTTAATACTGTCTCACGTGACCTTTTCATAAATAAACTAGGGAAACATAGTCTAGACAAACCTATTCTAAGGTGGGCGCACAACTGGTTGGAAAACCATATTCAGAGAGTAGTTATCAATGGTTCATAGTCAAGCTGGAAAGGCATATTGAGTGGAGTCTGTAGGGATCTGTCCTGAGTCCATTTCTATTCAATATCTCCATAAATGATTTGGATAATGGCATAGAGAGTACACTTATAAACTTTGCAGATGATACCAGGCTTGGAGGAGTTGCAAGTGCTTTGGAGAACAGCATTAGAATTCAAAATGATCTTGACAAAATGGAGAAATGATCTGAAATAAATAGGATAAAATTCAATAAAGAGAAGTGCATAGCACTACACTTAGGAAGGAATAATCAGTTGCACAAATACAAAATGGGAAATGACTGCCTACAGAGGAGTACTGCAGAAAAGGATCTGGGGTTTATAATGGATCACAAACTAAATATGAGTCAACAATGTAATACTGTTGCAAAAAAAGCAAACGTCATTCTGGGATGTATTAGTAGGGGTGTTGTAAGCAAGACACAAGAAGTAAGTGGGGGGGAGGGATAGCTCAGTGGTTTGAGCATTGGCCTGCTAAACCCAGCGTTGTGAGTTCAATCCTTGAGGGGGCCACTTAGGGATCTGGGGCAAAATCAGTACTTGGTCCTGCTAGTGAAGGCAGGGGGCTGGACTTGATGACCTTTCAAGGTCCCTTCCAGTTCTAGGAGATAGGATATCTCCATTAATTTAAAAATTTATTTAATTCTTCCACTTTACTGAGCCCAGATAAGGCCTCAACTGGAATACTGTGTCTGGTTCTGGGCACCACACTTAGAGAAAGATGTGGACAAACTGGAGACAGTCTAGAGGAGAGCAACAAAAATGATTAAAGGTCTAGAACAGGGGTGGCCAACCTGTGGCTCCGGAGCCACATGCGGCTCTTCAGAAGTTAATATGCGGCTCCTTGTATAGGCACCGACACCGGGGCTGGAGCTACAGGCGCCAACTTTCCAATGTGCCTTGGGGTGCTCACGGCTCAACCCCTGTCTGTGCCACAGGCCCTGTCCCCACTCCACCCCTTCGCGCCCCCTCCTCTGAGCCTGCCATGCCCTCGCTCCTCCCCATCCGAGCCTCCTGCACGCCAAGAAACAGCTGATCAGGAGGGACGGGGAGGCGCTGATCGGCGGGGCTGCCGGTGGGTGGGAGGTGCTGGGAGCGGGGGGGGGGCTGCTGACGGGGGGCTGCTGACGTATATCTGTGGCTCTTTGGCAATGTACATTGGTAAATTCTGGCTCCTTCTCAGGCTCAGGTTGACCACCCCTGACTTAGAAAACATGACCTAGATGAAATATTGAAAAACTTGGGTTTATTTAGTCTGGAGAAGAGAAGGCTGAGGGGGGACATAACAGTCTTCAAGTATGTAAAAGGTTGTTATAAAGAGGAGTTGTCCTCTTTATAACAACCTTTTACATACTTGATAAGTTGTCCTCCTTAACCACTGAGGCTAGGACAAGGAGCAATGGGCTTAAATTGCAGCAAGGGAGATTTAGGTTAGACATTAGGAAAAACTTCCTAACTGTCAGGATAGTTAAGCTCCAGGACAAATAACCTAGGGAGCTTGCGGAATCTCCATCATAGGAGGTTTTTAAGAACAGGTTGGACAAACGCCTGTCAGGGATGGTCTAGATCAGGGGTGGGCAAACTAAAGCACTGCGATGTCCTGCCGGGCAGCATGGTGGCATGGCTGGCACCGGCGAGGCGGCACAGCTGCCAGTCCTGCTGCTCTGAGCGGCATGGTAAGGGGGCAGGGAGAGGGGAGTTGGGTAAGGGGCAGGAAGTCCTGGGGGCAGTCAGGGGACAGGGAGCAGTTATACATTTCTATGATTCTATAACTGCATTCACAGTAGGGCTTTTATTAGTATTACTATTTCAGTAAAAAAATGACACCACTCTAAAAATTCATAGTTATACCATTAAAATATTCATGTGTAGACCATGCATAAGAGACGGTCTCTGTCCTGGAGGTGCTTACAATCTAAAAGACAAATAAAGGCCGGGAGAACCGAAGTATTTTTCCCTCTATTTTACATATAGGGCACTGGGGCACTGAAAGATGACGTGCCTTGTCATACATGGAGCTAGTGACAGAGCTGGGACTTGAATCACTGTCTCCTGAGTCCCAGCCCAGAGTGTAAATCACAAGACCATCTTCGCTCCTATTCAGGCGAATTCAGAAATTAATTTTGATTTGAACATGAATTATTTTTTCTTACTTCACTTGGCTGTAGCTGCAGCATGAAATGTGACTGATTGCTGACAGCATTGAAAATGAAAGTAAAGGATGGAATCTAGGCTCCTCAAGGAAATGGCTCCTAAGAGCTTAACATTAGATTGAAAAAAGTATGTGGGGAATGACCTTTATTACATGGCTCCAACACCGAGAGCCTTTTGTTAACATTTAGAGAGAAGCACACAGTAGTATGTAAAATAAAGTCATACATTCTCCACAGCATTCTTCTCCCCTTCACATATTTGAGTACTGTTTGTTTGAAAAGTAGGCTTGGTACCACTGGGCACTCAGCGAAGTTTATCTTGTGAGGTCAAGAGGGTTTTAAACTAGCAAAAGGAGGAGAAGAATGTTTGTGGCACTGTGTGTTTCTGCTTAAAATAATAAATGAGAGCAAGATAGGTTTTGAAAATGTGCCCTTGGCACTGTCAGATTATAAAATACCCCTATCCAATGATAGCAAAACTCCAACTATTCCAATAGCACAGTTTGAAATAGTACCTGCATGTACTCTGTATGGTGGGTTGGCCTCCTGCAATGCAGATTTCTCTCCTTCTAACACCCACTGCCCACACACACTTCGAAAAGAAATCTTTCTTACTAGGGAATCTAATACATTCATAAATCCAGGTGGCCTTTAAAAAACGGTAATCCAAATTCTACCTGAATTTACACCCTGTTCAACCCCATTACTTTAACAGAGTTACAGGGGGAAGAACTTGGTCTATTGCGAGCAATATGGTGCCTCTTCCCAAACCTGTATTCCCTAGATAGTCCCAGTCTCCCTCACCTTTAGGATCCTCATCCAATCTCAGTCATCCTGCCCTCCACTGCTCCCCATCCCAGGCTTCTTGCCCAACCAGTCCCAGTCACATCCCCAATGCTCCCAAACCCAGCCTCTGCACATACACCCAGACTCTTTGTCCCAATTTACTTCCTTCCTCTCCATTCAAGTCCATCCTATGTGCCCTCTGCATTTGACTCAGGCTTTTCCTTCTTCTTTATGCCTGGGCGTCAGCAGGGAGAGCATTGGAAACACAGGAGACAGTCTCCCTACTCTCATTTCTAGAGCCTGGCATGACAGCAGCCCACAGCTGGAAAAATTCCGCTCAGCCCCTGCAGCCCTGGAATGAGTCTGGTCAGCATACAGGAGCTGTGAGGGATGGAGCATGCTCAGTGCAGATGGAATCCTCTAAGAGAGGGGTTCTCAAACTTTTTCTTTCCGAGACCCCTCAACATGCTATAAAAACTCCAGCTGTGCCACAACAACTGGTTTTTCTGCATATAAAAGCCAGGGCTGTCGTTAGGGGGTAGCAATTGCCTGGGATCCCACACCACAGAGGGTTTTGCTCTGGCTTTGGCTTCAGTCCTGGGTGGTGGGGCTTGGGGCTGCAGTCCCATACGGTGGAACTTCGGCTTTCTGCCCTGGGCCCTAGCGAGTCTAGTGCCAGCCATGCTTGGCGGACTCCCTGAAACCTGCTTGCGGCCCCCCCCAGGAGGCCCCGGACTCCTGATTGAGAACCACTGCTCTGAGAATTAAGATGACAAATTCTAACAAGTCTCTACTGCGTTTGTGTGAACCAAGATTTTTCAAAGGCTTATATCTTTGGGCATTTTATAACAGGAAAAGCAAAAGACACATCCCTGACATCATGGCAGCCTCTTTGTCAACTTTCAAGCCCTTGCTCCCAACCATGGAGGTACTAGAGCTTCTCAATGACATGGTTGTAAGAAAAATTTTACCATGGGCAAAACAACATATTTTCCCCTAACTTTGTTCTGAACCATTTTTGCTGAAACTTTCTTTAAAAAAAAAAAAATCAGACTGAGGCAGACCCCAGAAAGTTTCAGCCTGAATGGTTATAATTGGCCAAATTTATAAGCAACTGAAAATGGGACTTTATAATGGGAATTGTCAGGCAACCTTAACTACAGGCGGGGTAGCTACCAGCTCCACCTATAACGTGTGCCAGGCCAACTATCAGAAGGCAGGGTGAATCCATTAGAAAGCAAATTTATGAAGTGAAGTCTTTGCTTGGGGAAACAATTTAACTGCAGTTAAGAAAAAGACCTATCTGGAGTCAGTCTTGCTGTGCAATAAGTAGTAGAGTCTTATATTGGTTTTACAAGTTCTTTACTGTTTCAGTTGACTCCCAACTGGTTTATCGCCAGTAGGATATATATTCATACCCTGCACTGGGCTTGTGAACCGCTTTCACACAAATAACTGCAATCTTTCATTTTCAGAGATTTGAAGCCAGAAAATATCCTGTTAGATGATTATGGTAAGTCTCAGAGGTTTAGAGATATTTTTTTCACAGTAAAGTAGCTTAAGTTAGTTTTAGGACACATTGTAATAAGGCAAATAATGCTCTGAAGTGAATAAGAGGCTCATCATATACTAATGCTTGTGTCTTGGGATGCATAAAGTGATAGAAGTTTACACAAGGACTGCTACACAGCTGAGGAAACTAGGCTGCATAGCAGAGTATGTTCCTTTGGACAGTGGCTTACCTAGCAATAGGTCTGCCTTTTCCACTGTCTTCCCTACATTACTTCCACAATAGGAAGGAAGTTGTGCAATCTATGCCCCCAACTCCCTTTTCAGAGGTACTTTACCCCCTGTTTGTCAGCTGTCATTTTATTCAAACCAGTGAGCCCATTGCTAGCTACAACCTGCCATGATCAAATCTCATGCTTCAGTGCATAAACTAATCACTGCTATGGTCAGGAAGGAAATTCCCCCCCATTTACAGCAGTGCAGAATTGGTCAAAGGGCAGGTATAGCTTTCTTTGAGGCAGCAAGTCTATGGCAAATTCTGTGTTCCAATGACTCTGGCTCAGCACTGACCATGCCAGTGCCAGGTTTCCTGGTGCAGGACATGAGTGACTACTATCACATATATGATGTGCTTCCATTTGAACTGGGGCTTTCAAGCCTGTGCAGCCTTCAGACCATTACTAAATCATTAGGCCATTTTATAATTTAGTGAACTATCAAATTGCTACCTACATGGGTCCTCTGATACCACAGAGATGGGACTGCAGTTGGGACCTAAATGGACAGAATAGATTAAGTTACCCAAGTTATCTCAGTCTTGACTCTCCCACCTTTCTAAAGAAATGATACACAATAGACTCGGGATCTGTAAAGTTATTGGACATTTTAATGAAAACACTGCTGTGGAATGCAGTGTACTTGAGCTGATTTCTATGTTAAATACGCTCCATAGTTGTTGAGTGGTTTCCTTTCTGAGATAATTTGATTTAAGTTAAAAATATGGTCGGGGGGTGGGGGAGGCGGGCACATATAATTTCAAAATCTGTTCCTTTACTCACATGCTCCCCAATCTTCGACTTTCCAAAATCTGGATATAAGTAGTAATAACCTCCAGGTTTTTAGGGCTCTTAAATAGTATTTCTCAAGGAACAGACCCTTATGTTGCAAACAAGACCTGAAAGTTGAGCTTTAGTTATAGATTCAGGACCAAATTTAGTTATTTTTACAAGCTAAACTATCACAAAGTGATACAAGTTAGTGATAGAAAAGACCAATTAGGTCAACCTGTCCATCCACTTAGGTCAATGCAAGATATTTCCTGACAATATACCTACCATTGCTTTTTTCCAGTCCAGTTTTAAATATGTCAAGCAATGAAGACTAGTCCACAGTGTAATAGACCTCACTGTTTGGATTTTTCACTGCCATTCAGCCTAAACCTTCCTTTTTTAAATTTCATTGCATTACTCTTAGGTAAAACCCCTAGTATCACCCAAAATCATTTCTCCCTTCCTGAATGATTATATTTTTTCAAATTCAGTGCTAGTGGCATTTTTCTTCTCACAGTATTTAGATGAATTTCAAAAGTGGTCCACTGAGTATAACTTTTGTGTTTTTAGCCATTTGAGGACTGCACTTTAATATTTGCTTTTCCCCCCTTAGGTCATATTAGAATATCTGATCTGGGTCTAGCTGTTAAAATCCCGGAGGGTGACTCAATCCGTGGAAGGGTAGGAACAGTAGGGTATATGGGTAAGTACCTCAATAGCTCATTTTATTGATAGTTTACTCTATTATTGTGACTTTGGAGTTCTGTCTGGAGTGCAGATTAACTAAATCTATAGGAAACTGTTCTACAAGACCAGAGCATCAAACCAGAAGAGATGTCTGTGAGCTTTCCAGTATTTTTAAGGGGCTATATTAAGGGATGGCTGTTTCATCTTCTAGCCTGAGTCCAATTCCTGGTGATTGCTAGAGGGGTTTCAAGTTTTGCAATGTTCTTCAAATGAGTGTGGTATTAATTCTCTCCTACTTTAGAATACAAAACAAGTCAGAATTCAGTTAGCACGTTACAAATGCAGAACTCTTCAAAAGTGTGAGTGGGCTAAATTGAACCTTGCAGTCAGTGGCGTTATGCTAGTGTTAACTACAGTGTGTGTGTGTGCGCGCTAATGTGTACTAGAAGGGGGAGAACTGTATGTATGTGTATTAGAGTGTGAGGGGACATCTACCCTGCAAGTGAAGGTGTGATCGTAGCATGAGTAGGCTTATCCAGGGTCATGAAGACATGTCAGTGTGGGCTAGCAACCAGAGTACATAACCAGGATCCCTAATGGGCTTGTACGTGGCTTGCTAGCTTGTGCTGAAGCCTATGCCATCACCTCTCGCTACTATTGTTACCTGTGCGAGCTGGATTAAAATTAGCATGCGTATGCCTGCCCTTGCTACAATCACACATCCACTTGAGTACAGACATACACTGTGAGACTCTGTGTGTATCTGTTAGAAAAAGTGTGTGTGTGCACGAGTGTGTGTGAGAGAGAGGTTTTCTCTGTGTGTTTGTGATAAAGTGAGCAAGTCTTTGTGTATCTTTGTGTGTTTCAGACAGAGAGAGACTTTGTGTGAAAAGGAGAGAGTCGGTGTGCTAGTCTACACACCAACATGCACTGATATAACTAACCCAGTTTCCTAAAACCAACTGAGTTATTTCAATGTAAACCAGTAGGCGGACACTCATTTTGGAATAAAAGTGGTTTAAAATGTTTGGGCTAAAGTTGATAACAAACTGACTTTAGCCACTTTTATTCCATATGTAGACTTGAATCTAAGTAACTAAATAAGTTATAAAGCACATCTTTAGCTATCCTGGTGCAAATTTGTGTGTAGATCAGGACCATGTGTTTGTGTTCAGAGAGTAAACATGCATGTTGGAAAGTGACTGTATGCAGAGTGAGTATATATACAGCACATAGTAGATGTTTGTTTTTTAAATAAAAATATATACACAAACTGATCCAAAGGACAGAATTTGCTTTTTAGGACATTTCATTTTTGTTTAAATAATGTTTGTTTGCCATTTCTTTTTTAAATTTAAAGTCTTGACGAACTTTCAAGATTGGGCCAGTCAAAAATATTTGGCTTCCACTGATTTTTGTTGTTGTTGTTTTTTAATCCCAGCTGTGTTTTTATATATGCTTCTGCATGAATAGCTGCATTCTGTATTTTCTGTAACTCAGCTAGTAGAAGCCAGGAGGGACTCTTATATTTTTCCCACAGTTCTCTGCAGCTGTGTATTCAGTCATTGAAATAAGAGGGTTAGGGGTTTTAGTTATTTTTCTGTAGAAATGTTAAGTGTTTTCACAAGATGTGTCTTTGTCCCTCACAGCTCCAGAAGTCTTGAACAATCAGAGATACACCCTCAGCCCTGACTACTGGGGGCTAGGTTGCCTCATTTATGAAATGATTGCTGGACAATCACCATTTCGTGGAAGGAAAGAGAAGGTAAAGAGAGAAGAGGTGGACAGGAGAGTCCTGGAGACTGAAGAGGTGTACTCCCATAAATTTTCTGAGGAGGCCAAGTCTGTCTGTAAAATGGTAAGGGGATTTGACAACTTACTGTGGTAGATTCGTTATCAGGCTGTAGACCACAAACTACAATTCAGAGGGCTGCAGAACCCAGAGTTAACCTCACTGGTCCATTACCAGGAGATTTGCACCCACTGTTCGTCCAGATTGTGTTGAGTGGGTTTATTTGGGCTGGTTTGAGTTTCTTGATGATCAGCTTGATTTTATCTAACCTTTTTTGGATGGGGGAGCAGTATCTATATTTTCCTGGATTCAGGAGACTTTGAACACCAGATTTTAGCCAAGAATGCACCTTGTGGCTTTTATTAACTTTGTGGGAAGAAAGGCTGATGCTGCAGGACTCTTGAGTGTCTAATGTAAGACCTGAGCACTCTTCACTGCCATTGTCTTCCATGGGACTTGAGAGTACTGAGGACCTAGATCACATTATGAAAGTGTAAACCCCTTCTCCCCGCCCCCCAACCCACTACCTTTACTATCACTTTCCCCAGGTCTGCTATGCTGACCGCCTTGTTAAATCACTGTTGGGCTGTCCTTTAAAATGTCTTCTGTTACCCTTTCAGCTGGGAGTGCTCTTTTCCAAAACTATGGCCATTGCTGGGAAGGGAAATCCCCAAACCATGTAAGAGTTAATCAATGACATTCCAGCATATGTCTTCGAAAGGCCAAATTTTAATTTGGAAAGGGGTGTTGCCTTAGCCTTGATTTTCTAGTGTGGTGTCCTGCAGGGTATTGCAAACTAGCAGAGAAACAGAAGGAAAAGGAAAGGTTAATGAATAAATAGTGTGAGCTTCATCAATACCTCGCGCAACACACAGGCAAGTGGCATATTAATATCATTCTGGTTGGTGGACTGGATAGGAGCTACTGAGGTCTCCTAGCAAACTAAGAACAGCATCACCGCCAAGAATCATGAGTGCAAGTCATTAACTCACAGTGCACTAACCCAATGCCACATCTCATGGAGTGGTAATTAATTGGCATCATTCCTGATAGATTCTTGAGGCCATATGCTGTTCTTGATCTGCGTGTAGAACTCCCCACTGATGTCAGTGGGAGCTGAGTGCAAGGATAAAGGACAGTATGTGGTTCCTTAATGATGGTTTCATGCACTCAAACAGCCTGCCTTCTCCTGACAAGCCCATTTCAACTAATGACAGGCCAGGGGGAAAGCCTTCTGCTGGCAACCTGGTGTTCATGAGCCCTGCCAGCATTAAGTTTGCATTACACACCAAACAGAAACCTCCAGCCTGTATAAAGAAATGGATAGGAGACAAAAATGACTTTTACTTCTGTTTCTGCACCTAGTTATAGAGCTGGAAGCATGGTGGGGAAAAAGTGTCATTCAGAGTAAAATAATGTAGCCACTGTTCATGAAAAGTTAAAGCTGAGGAGAGCTAGGTGAGGGTTAGTGGCATGGTGGTGGAATTGTCCCATCCCTGATGTCCTGCCTATCAGAAATCAGCCAATAAATCTAGATTATGTCAAAATTGGACGTAGCAGGTGTCAGTTATAATCTCTTTTATCCATCAGGGGAAGCAACTCACACACGTTAGGGCACTCTTCAAAATTAATAATAATACGTAATAATAATACCGAACAATGAGATCTTGAACTCTCAGATATCACAAAACCTCCCCTTTAACTCTGTCAGAGAGACTTTTGACTCTCCTCCAGGTTGATGGGACCTGGGACATCATGCACATTGGTTAGTGTAATATACAATGTTTTATTTTATCCCTGCCTCTTTGTTACCTAACCCATTCAGTATCAGTATGGTTCATTCACTGAGTGTTGACCACACGCACGGTGTCGTATTTTTCTAACCTTAAAAAAGTTAGTTAAAACAAAGTCTCTCCTTTGGGTGCTTGTTTCTATTTTGAGATCAAAATTAATCTAATGGGCCCCCTTATATTAATTGACTTAACGGGTGTTGTGACTCTCATGCTGTTTTTTCCCCCCTGCTCAGCATTTTCCATATTACCCCATAAATTGCTTCCTTTATTCCTGTCATTTTAGGATTGAAAGGCTTTTTTTGTCATATCGTATGATATGAATCTGACAGACTGAATCTCCTAACACATATTTAATCCATAAATGTATAAGAGGGCTGTGGATTGATTTATTTAACAATCCCTGCTCCAGTTGTTTCTTTTCCTGTAGAGGGGGAAAACTACACAGAAAATGTCTCTGACATTACAGAGTTGGAATCCCCACCTGAGATCTGAATTTGTGACATCAAAGGATCAGAGAATCCTTTGTACCAAAGTATAGAGCATTAGCATTAGTGTGACATTGACATTTCAGACCATTTTGTGATAGCCCTATGCTGGTGAATGTAAATCACTGTGGATTAAATTCTGCCCTCACTTATACCCTTGTCATCCCACTTTGTGCCTGTGTCATCCTGATGGAAAGTATTGCTGCTTAGGATCAACTTCTCTGGTTGGCGTTAGGGTCTCTAGGAGATCTTCTGATTTGTAGCTCTGTTCATAGACTATAGACTCTGAACTAGATTAAAGTACGATTGCTCTGGTCATTTGGCTAATGCCCCAAGAGGCCTTGCCATCAGTAGTGATGCATTTGCTTTTGTTGTGCCTTATTCATATTAAATGCATCTTTTGCAAATTTAACATTTAAAAAGAAAACCCTCTGCAAACGGCTCAAAATACACAATCGTCATCTCCGTTCCTGGTCGTGTCTACATGGGATGGACATTTCAGTCTCGTATCCATGACTGTTGCTAAAGCCCTCTGGAGCTTCAGCAAGCAGGAGGACCTGTCAATGCCTGTGGAGTGGTGGGCCACCTCCTTCTACAAAACTCCCCAGTCCACTCTGCTTCCTGCCAGCAGCAGCAGATAAGCAGTCTCCTACTTCACCTGAGCTACAGAGCATTGGGAAGTCCTTATAGAATTTCCATATGGCTCCAGGTTTGTCCCTGCTGGGACTCGCGGCCTCTTTAAGGAGATTGCTCAGCAGCGTACAGCAGCTTCTCTTTACTGCCTCAGGCAAAGGCAGAGAGCTGAGTGCTGGTTCCCTGTAGCTGTGCCAGGCAGGAGAATCTTGCCCTTTCTGTGTCCAGGTGGAGTTCCCCCAGCAAGTGCACTCTCCTCTCAAACGGACCCCACTGCACAAGCAGAAGCAGCTTCCAGGCAGTGGCCCCAGCTGGAGGAACAGTTGTTGGCCCTTCGGATCCAGGCTCAGTGGGTCTTGTGAGGCAGCGTCTCAGCAGTGGCCAGACAGTTGTGCAGTGACCAGCGGTTTCAGCCAACTCCCAGCTGCCTGCTCCACCTATGCCTCCGCAGCCAGAAGCAGCAATACACCAGCGGCCAACTCCATTCATGCTCCAAAGACCGGTTTCTGCATCAAAGGTTGTTGCAAATTGGCTCCTGGACACCACTGAGGGACTCAGGTCTCCCCACCCAGCCTCAGCCACCACACCCTGTGACCGCATGTACCAAACAGGAGCCAACATTTTCAGCCAGATGAGGATCAATTCCCAGATTGAGTTAATATCCCCAGCCGGCCCAGAGGTGGAAGCCCTGCAAGGACTGTTGGAAACTATAACAAGGCAGTGGGGCCTGTTTGTCTTCCCTCCATCCTGAGCAAGAGCTGCACGCATCTTCTATCTAACACAGGCTGCTCCAAGTCCACCCCTGCCCACTGCATCTCAGTGGTCAGCAGCGCTGGCTCTGAAAGCTTCTGGACATCAGTAAAACATTTTCCAGGAAAAAGCCAGCAGAAGTAAAGTCCAAGAACCAGTGGGAACTTAAGAGTAAAAGAGAGCCTTCTGCGTTAGGATTTCTCCTCTCATATGAGGAGAGGATCCCTTCAGCATAAAGGCAGGAAGCAGATGTGGTCTTTGTCCTCTCTGACCAGGAGCTACAGAAATTGGCTGGAGAAAAGTCGGACTCAGATGGGAAACTCTTTAGGCCATCAGACCTCAGTGAGCTTTCCCTATAAAGGGCAAAATTTAGAACCCTGCTGTGGTTAAAAAAACACAAATGCAGAGAAACATGCCTCAAGGCATCCCAGTTCACAGTCTCGTCCAAGCCATCAAAAGCAAAACTTCCTTCCTCCCCCTCATCTGAGCAAGGCAAGTTGTCTGATTTGGATCCAGCGGAAGAGTGCCAGGAAAGATTCTTTCCCCTGGACTGTTTCAGCATGACGTTGCACCAGGTAACCATTGAACCTTGACCACTTGAACCTATTGTGAGACAACAACTAGACGCTGTCCTTCAAACCCTCTGCACCACCCCGAAAGAGCTGTGAAGGGGATTAGATCGAGTGGAGCTAATAAATAAGTCTGAGGCTCATTAAGCTGTCTCAAATGCAGTCCCAGTGCCAAAATCAGACTGTCACCCTCCCAAAGGTTAACACTGTCATTGATAACCTTGTGAATTAATTGGTCATCATTTTGGGGAGTGACCTTTTGCCCAGTGATTGCCAGATTCAGTCTTCCTGGCATGGCAATTACACCTCTGCCACACTAAAATTCTGCTGATTCGGCATCTATTGCTCAAGCTATTCAGGTGTGTATCAGCTCCCTCTCAGAGGCTAAGGACCAGTAGTCAGTGGCTTTGATATAGACTTCTCCCTGGATACTTTGTGACTAGGTTTGTGACAAGCCATTAATGGATCAGGCAATGGAAGGCAAACCACCAAATTGTTGGTGCCGTGCAGGGAGCAAACTGGAGAAGCCTTAGGAAATGTTATCCTATAAGCCAAGGATGAGGGCGAGAAACCCCTGCCATTAGCCAGGCACCCGAGGAGAGATTACAGACCTTCCATCAGGAGCAAACAGTCCTTTCAGCTTCTGCAGCTGAGACCATCACTCATCCAGAGGGCACTGGAACACATCACGGCTAGGCATGACATCTCCAGACAACCCTCCCACTGCAGCAAGGATTCCTGATTCCCCATCTTCCTTCCCCAGGCCTGAGGTGCTATGATCCCTGCAGGCATCCTCCGTCCAATGGGCTGTATGGTAAAATTCAGCAGAACTTCCCTTTCCCTCACAAAGTCATTTGTCCCCTTCCTAGTTCCTGGAACATGGTAAAGCCCAGGCTGATGATGGAGGCTACATTCCCATTTGCTGATTATTGAGGCTCTTGGATCAGAACTAAGGCTGGAGAGATGCCTAGAGATTTGTTCACATTTCCCCCTGGGCATCAGGGTTCAAAGATCCTGAACATCACAGTTCAAAATGGAGACCTGGAAGTCCAAGTCCACCAGGACAGCCATTTTTCAGGGTGATTTGTTAGCCTCAGCAAGGTTTATCAACATGTCCAGTCCTTGGGGTTTCACTGCAGTAGGACTCCCTCTGTAGGAATGGCATAGTTGGAGATGATAAAGAAAGGCCTGGTGATTTTTCTTCTCTTGCCATTCCAGCCCATCTTAGGGTTGGAGCTCCATCAGCCCTTCAATTCAGAGGAAGATGTGATTGTTGTGCTGCATAGAGAGGTGAAATACAGGAAGGGAACTATTACTCCTTGTTTCATCTTTGGAAGCAGTCTCCCCAGAGATCAGGTTTCAGAGTAGCAGCCGTGTTAGTCTGTATCCGCAAAAAGAACAGGAGTACTTGTGGCACCTTAGAGACTAACAAATTTATTAGAGCATAAGCTTTCGTGGGCTACAATCTTCTCCCCAGAGAGGTTCTCAAACAAGGGGCCATGTCCCTGCTGATTATCTGCTTCCGCTGGGGGCAGAACCCACTAGGAATGGTCAGCTTGAATACTCAGAAGAGGCAAATAAATCGCAGGGTGCTAGTGAGTCTGTTTGGCTGGGGGGGTTGTCTACTTACTCAGCCATGTTTTTCTGATGCTTTTGAAAGTGTAATGCTGCTCAAATACTAGATGTTTGCAATGTAGTTGCTGCAATTAGCTTTTCCTCTGCTACCCCCTGGTGGATTGAGATGTTGTAAGTAAAAAACAGCTGAGCTGTGTGAACTATCAGCTGTACCTTCCTGTGCAATGATTTCCCTCTATGTTGTGAATGAAGCAGTATTTCTTTCTCCCGCATCTTACGTTTTTTCTTCTTTTTCTCAGTGCTTGGAGAGAAGGAGGGACTACCCCTTATACGTCTTGCTGCTAATGCATGATCAAGTCCTTTTTAACCTAAGGCTTTTTCTAGCCTGACTTGTCCGTGTAGCATATGTCTTTGGCTGCCTTTTTGGAATCAGACTGCCACAGGAGAGTCTTTAGTTAAAACTCTCCTGTCGGATATTCCCCATATGGTATTCCCCTGATTCTAGTAAGTACCCCCTTCTCATTTAAAAGGGCAGGTTTTTTATTCTCTTCCCAGTCTTTCAGCATTAGAAATCAGCATTCGCTAGAGAGGATACGCTAACACAGCTAACATTCATCTTTTTGTAAAATCAGTTGCTTTTATTGCATATTTATTTGCCTCTGACTTATCAAGGGGAAGTATTTTTCACTATATTAGACAACTGCAGTCTCCTAAGCAGTGTCAGTTTATGCATCCGAAGAAGTGGGTTGTAGCCCACGAAAGCTTATGCTCTAATAAATTTGTTAGTCTCTAAGGTGCCACAAGTACTCCTGTTCAGTTTATGAGTTGTGGCTCATGTTTCACTGCTTTGGCTATAAATGCATGCATGCACGAAAAAGCCACTTAAACTGAATGAAGACAACCCCTCCCCCACAAACCTTTCAGGCCACTGTCAGTTTCACGGTTCAGGAGAATGTCAGAAATTTGTGATGCAGTAGCGACATATAAAAAAGGCCATCAGTAATTGGCATAGGCTGATGCGCAAAGGTAGTCATTACATACATAGCTCTGCCTTTCTTTCAGTGCTTAAAAAATATAATAATTAGATTGAGTAAACACCGTGTAATAAGTCATTGGCTTGTTCTAATTGATTACGGGTACTTGATTTAAAAAGATTAGGCACCAAAATATCTCACTCATTGAACTAACTGGGCTCTCCCAGATCAATTATCAGAAACATAGAGGCCTCCCAATGGACTCTGGTTCTAACACACATCTCTCTGTGGTTATCTTCCTGTGCATGTTTATCTAATTTATCAATTATGCTGAGTTCAGTTAATCCCCATTGCCCTATTAAGGATCCCTGTGAGCAGAGAGGAAATCTCTGCAGTCAAACTGATTCTTCTGTAGACGTCTCCAGATCTCCTCCAAAGCTGCAAGTGAGCTTCCCTCAGCCCATCACAAGATGCCTGAATTCAGGATCTAGGAACCGATGTAGCAGTGCAGAGATGGTGTCTTATGGTGCCCTGTAAAAATCTAGGCTTGGGCTGATGGAGGCTGGTTATATTGCTGATACTGACACATATTGGAGCTTCAGCTGGTGTGAATCAATGTAGCTCCGTTGACAAAACTCCCGTTGACTTCAGCGGGAGCAGGAATGGGCCCAGTAGGCTGAGTAACGAAAAAGATATGATTTAAAAGTTCAGTATTACATGCTATACTGGAAAGTATTACACTGGGCAGGGGTAAACAGGCCAAAGTAACAAAGGAGCATCATTCCGACAACAGTAGCTTGAGAACGAGTGTTCAGAGAACATGTGGGACTATAGGGCATATGTCAAACCTCCTCTTCTCTCAGCCACCCATTGAAAATAAGTGGGAGGAGACTATAGGATAGAGGACAACACTATTGAGATTGTAAGCTCTTTGGGGCAGATCATTGTCTATATGTTTGAATAATGCCTAGAACAATGGAGTCCTGATCTGTTTAGCCTCTAGGCTCTACCACAATGTCATGATGTTAACTCATGATGATAATTCTCCTGTTCCCATGCCCCTATTCAAGCACAAACAGGAGGGAAAATATCATCGTAGGGCTATTGCTTTTCAGGCTTTCTTACGATCTTTCTTGGTCTGTTTCAGCTACTAACCAAAGACGTGAAGCAGAGGCTGGGATGTCAGGGGGAAGGTGCAGTGGAAGTGAAGAAGCACCCATTCTTCAAGAGTATGAACTTCAAACGATTAGAGGCAGGAATGTTGGACCCTCCCTTTGTCCCTGATGTGAGTAGCATATGGTAGAGAAAACCCCACTTGACTGGATCTAGAGAGAATATATTGCACACACCCCTTCTTTAGATGTCTTTCTAAAATGACCGCTCCCTTATATTTCCCATAGCTGGCAATGCCTTGTTTCATTTCTTTTTGGGATAAGGATGGTGAACTGGTTTAAATAACACCCTTTCCCGAGCCCCAAACTTAAACTCAACCTTTTCTTAGGTTCCAAAAGAACTCCTTTTATTTCTCCCCTGTTTTTGTGCCTTGTGAGCTCATCCAACTGGCACCAGGCCTCCTGCAAGTAGCAGATAGTTCATAGGGAAGCATATTTTCACAGAATTCCCACTCCAGTTTTGGAGACGTAAGAGATTGAGAGCTCAGCTAAGCATGTATGTATATTTGTACAGAGAGGGAGAATGGTCCAGTCTTAGGCGAGGTAAGTTCAATTCTCTACTCCAGGGGTTCTCAAACTTCATTGCACTACGACCCCCTTCAGACAACAAAAATTACTACACGACCCCAGGAGGGGGTCAAAGCCAAAGCCCAAGGGCTTCAGCCCCAGGCAGGGGGCCTGTAAACTGAGCCCCACCACCCTCGGGCTTCAGCTTCGGCCCTGGACCGTGGGGCTTTGGCTTCAGCCCTGGGCCCCAGCAAGTCTAACAGCAACCCTGGTGACCCCATTAAAACAGGGTTGTGACCCACTTTGGGATCCCAACCCACAGTTTGAGAACCACTCCTCTACTCCACCAGAGACTTCCAGGTTGACCTGGGGCAGGTCACTTATATTCTCTGGGCCTCTGTTCCCACCTGTAAAATAGGAATAGTAGCACTGCCCTACATCAGAGGGGTAGTGTGAGAATAAATATATTATAGATTGTGAGCTGCTCCGATATGACCATAATGAGGGCTATTTAAGTACCTTAGCTAGATACGCTTTTAGCTTAAACCACAAAATCTGGACCCAGACTTCAAACAGCCCAATGTTCTGCTCTGGGGGAATAAGTCTGGCCCATTATAAAAAAAATCTGTTGTTTGAAAAAATTCAGAATCGGGTTCAGGTATTAAACACCCCCCGCCCCCCAGGACTGTGTTTCTCTAGTGCTTATTTGAAATAGATCCCAACTCTGACCCTCCCCCTGAGGTTTACCCATCACTATTGCACATACTGAAGGTCAGTATTGCAGTGACAGTAATAAAAGTTTCAAAGCCCTTTGTAGTATACATCTCCTTCCCCGTGCACAGAGTTCCATGGTTATTTTCCTCTCCCAAGCGTGTCTGTCTGGCTAGGCCTTCTAGCCTTAAAGTCCCCATATGGCTCTAAGTAAACATTGTAGCTTTAACGTATTAGGAAAAGTAACAGTTTGGCAGCTCTGGTTTGCATTGCTGCAAACTCAATCAAACCAAAGTGGTTTAAAAGCTACAAAAGTTTACTTTAGCTGCTCTGGTTGGCTTTGCACTTTACTATGTAGCCTCGTTATTCCTGCCAATTTGCCCAGGGTGTTATGACCTGCTTCAGTGGGAAGAAATAGGAGACAAACTAGTGTTTCTTTCTCATGAAGAAAATTAGAAAATTCTGGACTCAAATATGGGATCAGCTAGAGCCTACTAAAAGCTTAATTGTGGTATGTAATGGCTAGAGGGCATCTATTATCCATGTGTTTGCTAAAGTAGAGGCACATAATTTTTTGCCCCATTAAGGGCAGCCTGGCAATTTATTGGTAACTCAAGAGCTGCACCTAAACTAGATAATTCAGCACTCACAGAACTCTCTTCATTCATAGATTATCAGGATTGGAAAGGACCTTAGGAGGTCATCTAGTCCAACCCCCTGCTCAAAGCAGGACCAATCCCCAGACAGATTTTTGCCCCAGATCCCTAAATGGCCCCCTCAAGGATTGAACTCACAACCCTGGGTTTAGCAGGCCAATGCTCAAACCACTGAGCTATCCCTCCCCCCCATGGGATCTCAAAGCACTTTACAAAGAGAGGTATAGTATTGTTATAGCCATTTGACAGAGAGGGTAACTGAAGCACAGAGAGGTTAATTGACTTGCCCAAGGTCACACAGTCAGGAATGGAGGTGGGAAGAGAACCACATCTCCCAGTCTGCCACTGGACCACACTGCCGCCACAGAGAATTAAATAGACGATAGCAGCCCTCATCTTTAATCAGAAGGCACAGCACACAGAGAATATAGATTCCAGCATGTAGCACTTCATTTTGATTAATTTGGCCAGACTGCTCAGTTCTAGATAACTCATTGCATGCTGGGATCTCTAGGCTTTGCAAGCCACACTTCCACTTCCATGTTAAGGAAGATAGTGTATCATGTTGTAGAATTCTGTAGGCTACACTAGTCCTACAAGCTGCATCTTGGTAATGCCTGTGTTAAAGGGTAACTTTGTGCAGCTAGGGTAAGTTCTATGGACATGCAATGAGTCCATGTTAAGTAACCACTAGGGAGTATTTCTGTTTTCTGTTCAATATGGCTGACTATTGGTCTGTTAGCTGAGGAAAATGTCTCTTCAAAGTGACGTAGCAGTCATTCCAGAGAGCTAAGAACTATATTAAAATAGTTAAAGGTATTTGACTGCATCTGCAGAAATACAGCAGTGAAAATTGTAGCAGTTAATAGGAATGGCTCTAGAGTGTTTCCAACGGCTGAGAAAGAGCTGAGCTATTAACACAAACAACGGAAAAACTCCAAACCTCTTCTGTGTTCTTTAGCATTTAGTACAAATTCCTTTAAAGCTTCAAGCTTGCAAACACCACAGCTGGCTGAGCAGAATGAGACTTCCATTTGGGGCAGACAGAGCCATCCCAGGTATGCATTTTGCACAGATTTTCTAGTCTTTGAATGGCTTGTGTGTCCCTCTCTAAAAGAAAGAACCACTGAGCTATCCCTCCCCCCCATGGGATCTCAAAGCACTTTACAAAGAGAGGTATAGTATTGTTATAGCCATTTGACAGAGAGGGTAACTGAAGCACAGAGAGGTTAATTGACTTGCCCAAGGTCACACAGTCAGGAATGGAGGTGGGAAGAGAACCACATCTCCCAGTCTGCCACTGGACCACTATTTTTTTTATCCTCTTTTTACCTTATCTTATTTTTCTGTCCTTGTCACTTCACCTCTTAGCCATGTGCTACATGGATGACTAAAACCCACTGTGGTTCTGCTGATGCTGTAAGGACTTCAAAGTGAAAGCTTTAAATGCTTAAAGCAAGTCAGCCTTTGACGATAAACACATGGGCAGAGCAAGTATAGGAAGGCAGGATGTGGCTAGTCACTTTTGGTCAGACATTCTCACTTGAATGAGTGTGTGAATCAAGGCACGTGTCCAGACTCAAAGACGTTTTCTCTCCTGCTTTTTCTGCCGAGACAGCCCAGAGCAGTATACTGCAAGGATGTGTTAGACATCGAGCAATTCTCCACAGTGAAAGGGGTAAACCTGGACCAAACAGATGATGATTTCTATTCCAAGTTTTCCACAGGATCCGTATCTATTCCATGGCAGAATGAGGTAAGGGTACACCATGATCATATCGCCCTAATGCAATCTCTAACCCAAAGCTGCTTAAGAGCAGTTGTACGCTTCCAGTAATATATACCCACTGGGTAACGTGCCAGACTCTAATGCATTCATAAGTTACAAATGCACTCTTTCAAGATCTATAAAGTACCACAGATGTCAGGTTCAGGTGACTGTTTCTGCTGATTCTGCATATTTGTGTAAATTGGCAAGGGTCCGCCTGTACTTCCTCCTGCTGGTCTCCATGGAGATGTTCTGATAACTGCTCTAAAGAACTTCCGCGGAATGGATTGCTGCCTTAATGTGGCGCTCTATTTGTGACACTCCTCTCATTCATTATTTTGTATCTGATGGGCCCCAGCTGCGGCATTTAAATCTGGATCTGAACTTTTCTGAAGTGCCAGGGTTTTTGATTGGGGGATTTGTTCTGCCTGCTGTAGAAACAGAGCCAGCAGTAAAGTTCAGATCCAAGTATAAACTTCCCCATAGTTTAGGGGGGCTCATAACTGGCCTTTTGGGTTCAGGCCAATCCGTATTTTATATTGTCCAACATAGGAAAGAAAAACAATGCAAAATTTAATGGGGCATTCTCTTAATAAGACTTATTGGAATAGTGCAGAATCATATACATTAGAGATTGAAGCCATCTGTTAGGTTATATTGCCAGTACAGGTAGGGGCTCAGCTATTGTTCTAACACAATATACTTTCCCCATTCAAACCCTTGATGGCAAAAGATGCTTTTTATACTGTATTGATTCCTTGGCATGCTGACAGCACCTCAGGGGAGGTGATGAATATGGTGGGAAAACTGACTAAACTGCCTTGCTGTTTTGAATAGTGAGACTCTTCCTCGAGGTGGCTAAGGTCAGGTCGACTTGGGCTGACAGCATCAGCGGTCAGAACTGCTTAGTTACGGAAGCTCCAAGTGAAACTGAATGTGGTGTTTAGGTTGGGACGTTAACTCTGATTTTCCCACTCTAGGGCCTGAGAGTTATTCAGTTCAATTTAACAAGCCATCAGAAGACTGTACATCTTCAGCCCCATCTCTGCTACTAGAGCCACAGTAAACTGCCTAACAACAATAGCCAGAGAGGTGTCCTGTTGCTGATTGGCCCTTGTTGCGTCCTACACCCTCCTGTCACATCTTGTCCCTCTTTAGTTTGTAAGCTCTTTAGGGAAGGGACTGTCTTTTATTTCATGTTTGTACAACACTTAGTATAATGGGGCCCCTGGTCCTGATTGGGGCATCTGGAGTCTCTTGTAATATTAATAAATAATAGTAATAATGCATCATCTCTTTTTATTCTTTCCGTGTTTTACCAGATGATAGAAACAGAGTGTTTTAAAGAGCTAAATGTATTTGGACCAAATGGTACTATTTCACCGGACCTAAACAAAAGCTACCCCCCAGAGCCACCCAAGAAAGGATTACTACATAGAATATTTAAACGTCAGGTGAGACCTTAAATGTAACACAAAGAGCCTCTCTGAGCATAGGCGCTGACTCCATGGGTACTCCGGGGCTGAAGCACCCATGGAGAAAAAATGGTGGGTGCTGAGCATCCACCGGCAGCCCCCTATCAACTCCTCCTCCCTCCCTCCTGCCCACCAGCGGGCCCTGACGATCAGCTCCTCCCGCCCACCGCAATTAGCTATTTCACGGCGTGCAGGAGGCTGGGAGGGGAGGGAGGAGGAGTGAGGACACGACGCACTCGGGGGAGGGGGCGGAAGTGGGCGGGAAGAGGCGGGGCAGGGGTGGAGCTTGGGGCAGAGCCAGAAGTCGAGCACCCACCGGCACTTTGGAAAGTCGGCGCCTGTGTCTCTGAGTATGATATGTATGCTACCCTTATGGTATGTCCATCATGAGACACATGAAATACCAGGCAGGGTTTGTTCTCACAGTTTCCTTGTAATTTTCTACTTGGTGTTGCAGATTCCGTATGTTCAGTTGGTTCAAATAAGTGTCTGCACCTAGGAGTTCTTATTTGATTCAGTACTTTCAACTTTCCAAGACGTGGCCATCACTACTCTGATATTTATCAGGGCTGGTTGAAATGGTTCCGTCTAAGCTGTTTTTTTTATGGAAAATTGGGTTTGTAAGTTACATGATTTTGTGGGAGAGAGAAAATTGTCTGCTTTTCATGGAAAACATCAATTTTTCATTAAATAAACGAATGCCCAAAACATAGGAGATGTTGTCCAACCAGGGAGTCAGGCCCATAGAGGAGAATGGGAGCATGAGGCAACTGAAATGCGACTCCTACAAGAGGCACCACAGCAACATTTCCAAATCAAAGAATTTTGGGATTTGGCTGAAATACTTCAGTTTTTGATATTTTGCTGAAAAATCTGAATTTTCTGCAGAAAATAATCCCATTTCCTGACCAGCTCTGTTTTTTATCATGTTCCCCTCGACAGGCTGCAGGTAGTTTAGGCTGGAATTTTGCAAGGGCACCTTCTACTCCGGACACTGATCTCAGTCCCACCCTCAGAGGCTCTTAGTAACCCCTGGCTCAGCACCTATATCCAACCAAGGGCAGCTCTGCCACCCCTAATGATTCCTTTGTGTCCAGGGCTACTGGGGACTGTCCATGAAAAGAACACGTGCTAAGAATGGTGCATTAGCAATGCTGGCTGCCAGGCTGGGAGAACTAGTCATGCTAATGAACCCAAACCCTGCTGCCTCCCTCCCAAAACAAGCACCTCCTCTGTCTCTCTCCACCGGGCCTCCCTACTGCATGAGTGGTGCTCACGACTGAGACTTGGTTTTCTTATTTTACTGTGTTGAATGCACAGCACTGTGTCCTCTTTGCACTGGTGTGTGCTGGGCCCCATGTGCTATTCCCTAACACTCCTTGCTGTGTTAGCTCTGACATACCTACCCACCATCCTTATTTAAGAGTGACAGGCCTTATTTTTTAGAAAAATATTGACCATTTTTCCACATAACATTTCGAACCCAGCATATTACACTGGAGTTACAAGCAGGGCCGGCTCCAGGCACCAGCTTGGCAAGCAGGTGCTTGGGGCGGCCACTCCAGAGAGGGGCGGCAGGTCCAGCTATTCGGCGGCAATTCGGCGGACGGTCCCTCACTCCCGCTCGGAGCGAAGGACCTCCCGCCGAATTGCCGCCGCAGATCGCGATCGCGGCTTTTTTTTTTTTTTTTTTGGCTGTTTGGGTGGCCAAAACCCTGGAGCCGGCCCTGGTTACAAGGCATGTCTCCCTAAATGTTAGCAGGTATGCTCTGAGGAAGGCAAAGCCTAGGAGGCCAGAACTGTTTGTGCTGTATTGAATTGACTCCTCTAATGTGTATCCTCTTCTCTGTTGCTCTAGAGAGCTCCCATGGTTCTTCTGACCTATGGAAAATAAAGACAAGCACGCTAAATAAGTTTTATTTCAGTAAATCTTCACGATGTTACAAGACCAGAAGGAGGCAGGATAATATGACATGACCAAAATGTGAGGCAGATGGGAGGTATGGGATGTTATGGGGATATAAATATCATTGTTTTCTCCTTTCTCCAGCATCAAAACAATTCAAAGAGTTCACCGAATTCAAAGGCGAGTTTAAATCACCACATAAATTCAAACCATGTAAGTTCAAACTCTACCGGAAGCAGCTAGTTCGAACTCAACTTTCATGAAACAACGTGTTGCATCCTTCCACTATAATCTATGGAGCTTCTAAGGATGAGAGAGCATCCACCGTTGAGTTAAAAAATAAATGATCTCCCTGCAATGGAGATATTCTATCCATTCCTTCCAGTGGAGCCTCACATTTTATGAAGAAATTTCCACTCAGGTCTGTTTTTGGAGGTGGCACTCAAGATGGTGTGAATCAGATTTGTCTATTTAGAACATTGCAATAGAAATTCAACGAACATGACTACTTGCACGTATTTAAATAGCATCATACTAGAACTGAATTTTGTCTTTATTATTTTTAAAGAAAAGTTTTGTAAATTTCTCTATTGTCTCAGTTTACATTTTGTACATTTGTATTTAAATGAAAGTCAGACTTTGGGGTGTATATTTTCTGAGCAGCAGCTGTAAAGCCATGTGTTTTAAGACTTTTTTTTAAAAGAAATGTGACTCAAGACTTCCAGAGCCTCAAATGAGAAATCATTCTTTTTAGTAAGTGTAGAAAATTATTCATATTTCACTTTATCAAGTTGATTTTACTGACATGCATTTTTATGGCACAGTTTATTCTTAATAATTTTACATCTGTATATTTGGCTTACAGCAACACTGCATACATTTTTCCTCTTTGTTGGTTTGTAAAGTCTTGTATTAAATGCTATTATACGTAGTCAAGACTTTGCCGCATCTAAGAATACTATTTGCTATGTCTGAGGTTCGTAATGTCATGGGACCAGCACTGTTGAGATTTGCACTTATTTTTGTTGTTAGATCATCACAATATTTATTGTTTTTAATGGAACCCTGTTTTAAGTCCTCCCCTTTTCAAACTTTTTTTTACTATTGCTAATGAGAGAAAGAACAAATGTTAGCAAGGGTTGCTAAGAAAGACAAGTTGTCATCAGTTCTTCAAAGACCTGAAATCCTTCACCCATTGAAATTAACAGCAAAGCTCCCATTGATTTCAGTGATACAGGATCAGGCCACAAGTGAGAGGCTTTTAGTTGCTTATGTCACACAGCTACCAGGAGATTGACCCAATAGCCCTATCTGTGCTGGCCAGGGAAGCTATAGGGGACAGAACCAAGCCAGGAAGGTTCGGCTCTGGATCTCAACTTTTCTACATCCATTATATCCATTCCAGCCCATGTCTACTTTCAAGTGAGCTGTTCTAGAGCCCTTAGGCTGCATGGCTCCTTTTCTGGCCCCCTCAACCAGTGATGAAATGACTGTCCCAGTACAGTTAGCTGAGTTCAGTGCCCATTGTAAAACAGTATAGTTTGCCCTTTTTTGATTCCACAATGTTTCATCTCAGGCTACCCCATATTATTGTTTAAAACAATTGTCCCACTGGTATAGATGGGCTCAGTCAGGTTCAATATCCATACTATGAACCAGTTAACAAAAGCATACTATGTGCTAGGAGTGTATCTATTCTCAAACATGCCATGTAGGACATCAGGTGTCAAACACAGCTTCACCCATTTCAACTGATATTGGGAAACATTTGACCCATTGGTGTAGACGGAATCTGCTGAATTCAACATTTGCTGTAAAATAGTTTGGTTGACCATGCTGAATTGATTGAGTTTTCCTAAACTTTTGGGACAACTGATGTCTGACATGTCATGTCTAAGAATTAAATGACTACACTAAGGTTAGGCCATGTCTGTGCTATCCAGGGAAACTGGGTTAGCGTCTTTCTAGCAAGAACTACATGTATGTTTAATTAACCACAAGGAACAGGTTACTTAGGGGGGTTCTGGAATCCCCATCATTGGAGGCTTTTAAGAACAGGTGAGACAAACACCTATCAGGGATGGCCTAGATATATTTAACCCTGCCTCAGTATGGGAGGATAAACTAAATGACTTCTTGAAGTCCCTTCCAGCCCTGCATTTCTATGATTAGACTGGTGTGCACAGGCGCCGACTTTCTAATATGCCAGGGGTGTTCAACCCCCGACTCTGCCCTAGGCCCTGCCCCCACTCCACTCCTTCCTCCAAGGCCCCGTCCTGCCTTTTCCTGCCCCTGTTCCACCCCCACCCCGCCTCTTCCCACCCCTTTCCGCCCCTCTCCCTCCAGTGCGCCGCGCCCTCGCTCCTCCTCCCTGTCCCCGCAGCCTCCTGCACGCCACGAAATAGCTGATCGCGGCGGGCGGGAGGCGCAGGCAGGAAGGGGGAGGCACTGATCAGCGGGGCCTACCGGTGTGCGGCAAACACGGGGGGGGGGCGGGGCTGATGGGGGCCTGCCGGTAGATGCTCAGCACCCACCATTTTTTCCCTGTGGGTGCTCCAGCCCCGGAGCACCCACGGAGTCAGCACCTATGCTGGTGTGAAATTGGTTTCCGTGGCCAACGCAGAAAGAGCAACAGAATGCATGAGGTTTTTTACAGGCAAAACCATGAATGATAAGGACTCAAAATAAAGTAAGTTCTAGAACAACTTAAGATCAGTAAGGGACAGAACAAGGTCAGTGCTTTTGTAAATTAGCTGATTGAGAAAGGAATGGAGTTATTGGGCTATGTATGTATGTATTGGGCTGATGTGTGTTTGTCATGGAGTACAGTATGCCAAGAAGCCAAGACACCCCGTAGGGCAACTAATAAGGTTGTGGACTCTCCCAATCACTTGTAGAGATACAGGTAATTAAGTCTGCGTTGTAAACAATCCAAAACAGCAATGAAAATTTGTCTCCCTCTTCCTTCTGACTGATGTTCTGGGAAGATGCGGTGGTGCAGAGGGTTTTACCCTTCACTTTATCAATGCAAAGATCAAACAGGCAGAGTGCCAGCGGTTTCACCTGTGTCAGTGATGCCACTGCAGATTTGAGCAGAGGTGAAAGAATGTGGAGAAGTGAATGCTGAGAATTTGGACTAATTATGTCTCCAGTTTAGTTGTAATAGTTCCAACTCACTAGTAGGCCTGAGACATGAGAGAAGTACTGTGTGAGTGAAATTCTCCATTTATGTTCTGACGCAAGCCCACTGAAGTCAGCAGGAATCTATGCACTGACTGTAGTGGGCTTTGTGTTAGGCCCTTAATGCAAAGTTTGCATTCTGTGGATGGCCTTGCATGGGCCCTCTGCATCAGGGTGGATTTCACCCAGTTTCAAGAAATGTAGGTGACAATTCGAAGTGCAGCTCTAAGGGGAACCTCAGTTTCTGTGGGGCTTAATGTAGGGCTCACTGTTTCAGTACCAGTGTGTATGAGAAGCTTTGTATGTAGAACTTTACTTGCTTTGCCTAGAATATCCTTACTGGGATACATTTTTTCAAAGGGAGAGGCTGATGTCCACGTGCCAGAACAACACTCAGATTCATCTGTGTGTGCAGTATGTCAGTGCTCTCTCAAACCGGTTAATTCATAAGCACAAATGCAAAGCAAAGGGAGCACTGAGTGGTAGATAGAGCATGGTCCTAGGTTGTGTTTTCAGTTCTGCTACTCCCTCACTTTGTGGCATTGTAGAGGCACCTACCTCCCATTAGAATAATGTTTATAATAACGTTTGCCTGCCGCCCGGGCTCGGGGTGGGGTTGTGAGGCTTAAATCAGGAATGTTTGTAAAGTGTGATGAGGCTCTTGGATAAAAGTCATAATAAGAATCACATATTAATATTCATCATTAAATGTGGGTGAGTGCAGAGCGTATGCATGAGGAGCTCATTCCCTACATTTTTAACCATTTGGTCCATGAAGACTCCGTTTTCTTTTTTTGTTGTTTTAATGCTTCACAATTAGATTAGAGATGAAAAACCTAATTACAGTGAACCCTCCCTTGAAGGCTGTTTGTTAAGGCTAAATGACCAATTGATAACCCTGTCTAGAAGGAACATCATGGGTAGTCACAACACTGCCAGTCAATACCAGTCTTGACCGCCAGTCCTGGGATTCTCCTGAACAGGGCTTGCCTACTATGTCAAACTGAGCAGTATTTTTTGTTATATATCCCACTCGAGACTGGGCTAAGAACACACTGTGCTCACATTCACTTGTGTGATCCAGTAAAAATTGGAACACAGATTGCTATGGGTGGAACTCAAGTGAATCAATTTGTTGCACAACCTAACTCCCCCAAACACATGGAGCCTGATTCTCAGAGGTGGTGAATACTCACAATTCAATCTGAAGTCAATGGGAGCGGTGGGCGTTCAGCACCTCTGAAAACCAGGCCTATAATTTCTTTATACTACTTTGGAGAGAGCATACTGCTAGCAAGAGAGTGTTTAGTACTCTGAATCATAATGAATAGCTTTGAGATGGGTTTGCACATGGCAAAAGAATAGAAAGAAATAGTTATTTCATAGTTTTCCAGCACAAGATTCATTTAATCTATTATCTTTCCAGTTAGAACAAAGATCCTTTTGGGAAGTGCACAAGATTAGAGCTGGTTGAATTATTTGTATGAGTAGACTGTTGAGCAAATTTAGCTCTTTTTAAATGTTTGGAAATCATTTACAAACGGATTCTGAATTCTGCAACTGGATTTATTTTTAAGTCTTCTCCAGATAGGCTGAAAATTATTCATCAGTCTATGGGTTCTTCATTAACTTTCCAGTTCAATGATTCTTTATGAGTGGTGTGTGAAGGAGTCACATGGCATTTTTTCTGCTTTCTGCTTGGATGATTGAAACTTCTAAAACGTGAAAATAACAGCAAATAAATATTTTTTGAGTCTGCACATATAACCTTTTTCATGTGAAAATAAGGGTGTTTGTGCACAAACAGCCATTCCAAAGACATGTGTGAACAAAAACCTGTTCATGCAAATGAAAAAACGCACAAAACTGGTCAAACCAAGCAGCCAGTAGGAATTCAAATGAACGTTAGTGAATACCATTCTTGCAGTACTGAATCAGATCTATTTAATATAGATATTAAGAGGAATTTGTTCAATTGACGCTCTGTTTTTCATAGAAAATTTGGAATGTCTTTAAGAAATATTTGAAGTCACTTGTGATCATTCCTCTCCCCGGGTAACTATGTCCAATTTCATTGTAAGAAACATGTAGCCAAACTTTGCTGATTGATTGGTGTCTTACCGGATATAGAGGTGGTTTTTCTTCTTCTTCAGAGTATACGTAGAATAGAACACACAAAATCCAGTAGGGACTATTTTTGTTAAGCCAACTGTCATGTTTCCAAGCTAGATCCAACTGGCATCTTTACTTTTCCATCCAAGTCTCAATTTCCAAGCCAGTTGCTATTATCCTTTTCAGTAGAGAAGCCTCAGATAAACAAACTTCTGTAGTACAAACAAAATAAGCAGAAACAGGGAGATACAGTATCTATGAACTCGTAAGTACAGTTTGAGAACTAGGTTAGTGTGTGGGTGTGTACATGTGAAAGGTTCTCGTCTTTAAGTTCACAAATTCTTGTTGTTCAAAGTTTGTAAGGCTCCCTCCCACATGTTAAATATATTGATCAAAATGAGATGGCTCATCAGCTGCTCCTGAGCATTCTCTAAGCAGCACTGGAAAAGTTGGACTTCCTCTTTGCTTTGAAAGAATGCCTAGGGCTAGTCTGCTTTTCCAGGCAGGGATCATGTCTTCCTGTGTGTTTGAACCTCACCTAGCCAATGGGACCCACTCCTGACTGGGGCCTTGGGCTGCTACTTTAATTTAAATAACAACATTCATAAGTGCCTAGTGCACAGGTGCCCATTTCACCAAAACATCACTGGCACATTTGAAGGCAGTTAAAACTGGGAGGCCAAGGGGTGAATGGACACAGAGATTGACCTGCCCTCATCCTGGGAGGTGGTCCTGGTCTATCCCAGGCTGGGTTGAGATCCATTAGCAAGGAAGTGCAAGAGAAGCTGTGGCTAAACAGAGGACACCCTTTTCCAGAGCTGTCACAAGCACTAACTCCACCTATCCTTTAAAAAATAATGATACCGATGAGTGTCCTTAGGCTAAAGCCGAACAAACAGGCTTAAATCCTATTCATCCCAAATTCCCAGCTTCCATCTGTCAGGAGGACAGCAACCTCCTTTAGAGATAACAACTAATAGCCTTTATGCAGTGCTGTGAGAGGATGCTTAAAAAAAGGAGTCTGCCACCCAACAGCATTCTGTACTAATAACTTCTACTCTGCAGTAATACAAATATCAGCTGCCATGTTGGGGTCTGTTACTGCAGAATACTATCAAATGTTTTTTATAAAGGAAGAGCCATACGCTGAGAAACTCTTAAACAATGTATTACTTACATTGGCAGTGGCAGTAATTTTTGATTTAAGATGATCTCCTTGTGTCTGGCTCAGGTTTCCCCTGTTCGCTTGCTTATATTTGGAGTCAAGAGTGCTCGATTCTATCCCTAGCTTGGCCATTGATTCTCTGTCTTGCCCGTGGCAACAAAATTAACCTATGCGCATCTCAGTTTCCCTGGGCTTATAAAAGGAGTGATGAAACTTAGCCACCTTTGTAAAGCACTTGGAAGTCTCTAGACAAAAAAAAAAAAATGTGAAGTATCAATATTAATTGTTTTTTATTTGAATGAATTGAGCCTCATCCAGCAGCTCTTACCTATGTAACTTCAGTGAGACAACTCATGTAAATAAGGGTTCACGATTTTTTTTAATAGTTTGTCCTAGTTCCTTTGAGATGCTGAGATTTTATGCACTTTGCTTCAGCAGCGAGACCTCCTGCAGAGCAACAGTATAGACTTTGAAGTGTTCGTTTCCTTGTTTCAGAGCTAATCAGTAATAGCAATCATTCAAGATCCTCCCCTTTTTATATTAAAAACAAATATCTATGAGGGAGGGGACACAAAATAATCACCAGTTAAACTTCAAAATCTCTCTTTGCTTGCTGAACAGTTGTTCCACATGTGACAGAATTCCTAGATACCGAATAATTGAAATGCTGTGTTAAATCAGAATGATGCATGTTGGACAAACGTTGGGAAAACTCAGTGGCCCATCTATGAAAACTAAAGAGATTATCACATTTCTAGGATCAAAGGACTTCAAAAGGGAATCCCAGGCCTTCTGGAAATCAAATGGCCCCCAAGGAACCATCACTACCAGGAAAGAAGAAACATGTCAGATAGTGCCTGGATTATAAATGTATTTTCCATTCTTGTCATTCCACAGCTGTTCAGTGTGTTTATTAACCAGTCCATGTGAGTTATATTGTATGTGCTGAGTGCAATCTCCTTTGATTGCACTTCTTTTAAATACTGGACACTTGTCTAAAAGATTCAACTTTTTGCCTTTACTTTGAAGGTGGAGGATGTAAAAACTTCATTTTGCATTTCCAAGCAATGTAGATAGATCTAAAAATTTCATGAACCATCTTGTATTTGCCCATATCTGACTAATGATTAAATTGTAAAACTGCAGAGTTTCATATTAAGACTAGTCTTTTCACCTGCTTTGAAAATTAAAATTCACATTTGGTATTAACACACACACAGTATTCTTCTGATCTAATTTGAAAAGCGTATCCAGGAGTAAATGTTTTTAAGCACTGCTAATACTGTAGTCTCTGTAAGAGGAACAGACACTTCTAAAGAAATGTTAAAGTTGTCTTTCATAATTCAGTCAACAAATCAGTTTTGTAATAAATTAAAGCAAATGTTCTCAGTTAGAAGAACTAGTGGCTGTTGGCATTGTACACACACAAAAAATCATCCTAGTATCCAAAGGGTTTTTTGTTGTTGTTTTATTACAGGGAGATTCTAACATTGTTTTATGAAACTAGTTTCATTTTGAGGTTGTTACTGAAGATAATGGCTTCTGTGTTCTATGGCTGCTTGAATTCTTCGTACATAATGTCTAATAATGTCACAGTGCTGCTGTATCTAGAGATCAAACCACTGTTTTGTTTTGGTTTTGTTTGGGGATTTTTTTAGAAAAATAAATTCTTTAATTTAAATACATTAAAATTACTCATTCTGATCCATTTTCCCTCTATTTTTTTATTGGACATAAGCCCATATTGCGCCAGATAATGCTTCAGCTGAAGTCCATGGGAGTGTTACCATTGCTTTCAATGGGAGCAGGATCAAGTTCAGACATTGCTGGGACATCTGCTGCCTTTATATGTTTTATTATCATATTTTTCTGTCACATCACCTCTCCAGCCAGTAGATCTACCATAGGTCAGAATCTTAGGCCTTGTCTACACTGAGGTTATTAGCCATGGGCAGCTGCATCAGGGTGACCATGGAGTACTGATTGAACCATGACTTGCACTAGTTCAACTGACCCCACGGTGTAAACCAGGACTTGAACAAGTGGGGCATGTCTATACTAGAGGTTTGCATTGGTATGGCAAGGCCAGTGTTGCTACCCAGTGACTAACAACTCCTCAGTCGTGCTCGTATTCACAAAGCCTCCAAACAATTACGTGACATGGTCAGCGTGTAACAAGGCAGAATGGCCTAATAAACTGGGCAGGAGACTAGATACAAAGACTTTAAAGAAGGCATCATGACAGTCATCAAGAGTTTTTCTTCACTGCTGTGTTAGCTCAGGGTATCAACACTTGAGTTAACTCCTCTCGAGTAGCTTAAGCATCAGCAGCACTTGAGCACGGGCATCAGGTTAGGGCCAAAACTCAAGCTATCCCTCCAGCTACACTGCAGTGAAGAAAAGGCTGCCCTCCACATGAATCTCCCTCTGGATGGAACCAGATTCTTAAATCAGATCAGGATCCAGGAATTCTTAAATTCTCCGATCAGCTCTGCCACTGACTCATTGTGTGGCCATGGACAAGTCATTTAACCTCCCGACTGTGGGTTCACTATATTTTGAGATGGGCATGATGCTATTCACATATCTCATAGGAATATTGTGAGAATTAATGTGCTTTGGAGCTGCAAAGAGTTGTGTGAGTGCTTATTATTTTATATTATTAAGCACCCTGAAAAGCTGTTACCTTGACAACCTTTGCTGCAAGTGCCTTTTCAAGAGAATTTTCTGGACTTGATTGTACTCTCACTTCTGATTTACTCTTTTGTGAGTGAGAAAAGATTCAGACCCTCTTGGGCTGATTCACCACTACTTTATACCTTGTGTAGTCAATTGCAACTGTCCCAACTGACTGCAAAGTGGGTGGAACACACTATCAGAATGGTCTGCAATTAATATCAACTTTGCACTAGTGTAACCTACACAAGGTGGAAAAACTGGCCCTTTATCTTCTACTGCGAAGATGACAAAAACTGACCTCATTCTCCCCACAGTACATCTCATACACACTTTCTGAGGCGAAATAAAAACTACCAGCTGCTCTATGGTACTAAAATCTTTAAAAGGAATAGGATCATGGAATAGGGCGACCAGACAGCAAGTGTGAAAAATTGGGACGGGGTGGCGGGTAATAGGAGCCTATATAAGAAAAAGACCCAAAAATCAGGACATCTGGTCACCCTGTTGTGGAACAAGATCCCACATTAAATTGCATGACTGGCCAAAGATACAAAGGACAGTGGTTGCATTCAAGAATGAAGGGACATTCTGATTTGCGTCAGGAAATTTTACACTCTCACAAAGAGAGCTGGCCAAATTTGTTTCCTACTTCCTTTTCATAGGATATGAGGGTTGGAAGGGACCTCAGGAGGTCATCTAGTCCAACCTCCTGCTCAAAGCAGGACCAATCCCCAAACAGATTTTTACCCTGATCCCTAAATGGCCCCCTCAAGGATTGAACTCACAACCCTGGGTTTAGCAGGCCAATGCTCAAACCACTGAACTATCCCTCCTGATGCACAATACAAACTCCCAGCAAACACCACTGCTGCAACCTCACAAGTTTAGGGGACCTTAAAATGGGCACGGTAGTTCCCAGAGAAGGGGACAGTGTGGGTGATAAAGAGGCTCACAGAGAAAGATTTTATTTAAACTTCATCATGATGTGTTTTATGAGCCCTACGAATCTCTGGCCTTGCTTAAATGTCCATTGATTGGGGAGGGACTGTTTGTAGGCAGAAAAATCAAAATACACTTTTCACTGGCATGCACTTCGTGCATCTAAAGTGGAATTTTGCATTCAGCTGCAACTTTACCAGTAAACTTTGCAAACAAGTTGCCACCCAGCAGAGTGAATTTTTTCTTGTATTTTCCAACTTCTTTTCTTTAAAAAAAAAAATTGTAAAAAGGTGTAAAGAAAAACTGAGAGCCTGCTGATGGCAAACAGTGTTTGCATCAAGTACCAGGAAAGAACTCCTCAAGAGCAGTTTATCTAGCAGAGAAAAGTATAACATACTCCAATGGCCAGAAGGTGAAGCTAGATACATTCAGATTGGAAATAAGGCCTATGAACAGTGAGAATAAGTAACCATTGAAACAATTTACCAGGGGGCGTGGCGGAGTCTCCATCACAGATAAAGTTTTAATCAAGATTGGAAGCTTTTTAAAAAAGGCCCTGCTCTAGGAATGATTTTGGAGAAGTTCTGTGGCCTGTGTTGTACAAGAGGTCACACTAGACTAGATGATCACAGTGGTCCCTTCTGGCCTTGGAGTCTATAAAACTGGGTAAAAGTAGCAGCCTTGTCAAACTGCCAAGCTCAGTAAAATTTAAGGTGCTCCTCTGTGTAAATTCAGATCCTGCAGATTTACATTGACACTGACCTGCTCACATACATTCAACCAATTGTCCTGCAATTATAAAAAGTTTAGAGGTCATGTGTCATTTGATCGTTTCAGTAAATTCCTTGGGTTGTTTTATGTTTTCCCACTGTTAACCTTTCCTGGAATTTTCCTAATATACCAGGCAAGTTTCTCTCTAGCTATGTACAGACCATTGGCAGAATACCCTCATCACTCACATGATTTAAAAAGAAAAAAATTAAATTAAATTATAATTGTTAATGCCCAGAAAGAGCTTTGGCGGTGGAAAGTATTACATAAGGCCCAGATCCTGCAACTGAAATCCATGGAGCTCTGTGCAGGCACAAGAGGCTGCCCAGGTGGAGTCAGTCACAAGCTTGGGGACTAAATTATTCTGCTTATTTTTTTATAGGTAACACATGATTAAGTTCAAAATAATTTTTAATGACCTAAGGGTTTTAACTCATTTCCCCCTCACTAGAATAAGTAGAATAATATTTATTAGTAACATTCACCACTGTACTATGCTTTACCTGACAAACTCGAAAGAGAAATGCTACAAGTCTTAGCTTGGAAGCATTAAATAGGCTATAAAGTAAGCATGCAGAATTGCTCCAGTCCTCAAAATAACAGTGCTTCCTTGCAAATTATGGGTTTTTTAAAAAACTTTTTTTAGTCTTTTGACCTTTGCAGAATTTCTGCTTTTTAATTCAAGCAAAACACTAGGAAATTACATTTCAAATTCAAGAGAAGTAGTGGTATTCAGTGCCTGCTGCAAAGGTATGCTAGTGTTCAGCTCACTCGGAAAGAAATGGCCAATAAATTTAGAACAAAGAAAAGGAAACAGATCTTCACACAATATGTAGTCACTGGTGCAGGTGGCCCTTTAAATACTGGATTTAAGAAGGAGACGGGCAAATAGTTTCCCCATGTGTAAAGTGGGGCTGATAATACTGCACCCCTTTGTAAAGCACTCTGAGATCTATTGATGAAGAGCACAATAAAGAACTGAGTATTATAGACAGGGCTGGTAGTACTGTATGCTATTAAGGTTGCCTGACACACCCCATATATAAGCCTGAAAATAGTGTCTAAACTTGGCCAATCGTTAACCTTTCAGGCTGAAGTTTTCCATGCCAGATGCTGGCAGAGTAGGCGTGCTGTGGAGTCCCTTCGCCACCCCCAGCTGGGCATGATATCATATTATCTCAGGGCTTCCAGTGGTCCATAACCCCTTCTCAGGGTCTTCATGCCCCTTTAATAGTGACTAGTAAAGGAACCCAGGCCCAGCCACTACATTGGGTTCCAGTCCAGAGATCCTAGAAGATGTTGCCAAGATTCGCTTCACTAGATGCCTTATTGATACCTCTCTGGACTTCTTCCTATGCAGCCCTTCCCTGGGCTGTCACCTCCCCTGCAAGAGCCCATTTGTTCCTTACAAGGCTTGTCGCTACCACAAGAGTGATTGCAGAACCACCTCCTTTTGCTCCAAATGTCCTCTGTTTGTAACACCACCAAGCCCCTTCCCAGCCGGGTTTCATCATTACTTGGGCCTGATCCTCCCAGCAGGTGCAGCCAGGTACGCTAATTGAGCTCCCTAATGCCTGTTACCCCCTTTGCTCATCTGTGAAGGGTAGAAACCACATCACATGCTGGAAAATTTCAGTCCAAAATGGTTCAGTTGTTTCTGAGACTGAGGCTAGGACAAAATAATGTAATTGGTCCCATGTTAAAAAATTCTGGTGACTTTTTCTTTGAACCGTTCTAGTCCCCTCCATGCTTCGGC